ATATAAAAGACATTATATTTTGATCAGTATTTAGGAGTGAGTGAGTGAGTTAAAATTTAACGTTACCTCGGCAATATCTCAGCCATATAGTGAGGTATTTATAGGAGCATCATAATTACCTGAGTATGTGCTAGAAGGCAAGAAGTTTGAAGGTTCCTGTCCACGTTATCGATAAACATAACGAGACGATTTTGTATAAAGTAGAGTCGACCTCTGACAAGCTTACAGAATTATGACTACACGCAAAGCGTTTAGCACTCTTCTAGCCTAATGCATTTCAACTATCTATTTCAAAGTTTTGAGCTTTGTACACACTTGTATGGGGGTTAGTTTCAAAGCGAAACAAAACGCTTACAAACCTTAATTGCTTTTTGTCATAGTGTATATAAAAACAACATGTTCCTCTTTTGAAACATGGCTTTGAGCAAAATACATATCATCTGTATACACACGAGTGCCGGGACTTCAAAGGTAGCACGGATATACCGGCTCACGGGGAAGACAGTGAGATAGTTATCTCTGCAGAACCAGTCATTGTGTCTGAAATGTTCTATAAACGACATGTCCATACATATTTCTGTTGTAATGTTCTATAAACGACATGTCCATACATATTTCTGTTGTAATGTTCTATAAACGACATGTCCATACATATTTCTGTTGTAGTGTTCTATAAACGACATGTCCATACATATTTCTGTTGTAATGTTCTATAAACGACATGTCCATACATATTTCTGTTGTAGTGTTCTATAAACGACATGTCCATACATATTTCTGTTGTAATGTTCTATAAACGACATGTCCATACATATTTCTGTTGTAATGTTCTATAAACGACATATCCATACATATTTCTGTTGTAATGTTCGATAAACGACATGTCCATACATATTTCTAACGACATGTCCATACATATTTCTCTTGTAATGTTCTATAAACGACATATCCATACATATTTCTGTTCTATGTTCTATAAACGACATGTCCATACATATTTCTGTTGTAATGTTCTATAACGACATATCCATACATATAATGTTCTATAAACGACATGTCCATACATATTTCTGTTGTAATGTTCTATAAACGATGTTCACATGTCCATACATATTTCTGTTGTAATGTTCTATAAACGACATGTCCATACATATTTCTGTTGTAATGTTCTATAAACGACATGTCCATACATATTTCTGTTGTAATGTTCTATAAACGACATGTCCATACATATTTCTCTTGTAATGTTCTATAAACGACATATCCATACATATTTCTGTTCTAATGTTCTATAAACGACATGTCCATACATATTTCTGTTGTAATGTTCTATAACGACATATCCATACATATTTCTGTTGTAATGTTCTATAAACGACATGTCCATACATATTTCTGTTGTAATGTTCTATAAACGACATGTCCATACATATTTCTGTTGTAATGTTCTATAAACGACATGTCCATACATATTTCTGTTCTAATGTTCTATAAACGACATGTCCATACATAGTAATGTTCTATAACGACATATCCATACATATTTCTGTTGTAGTGTTCTATAAACGACATGTCCATACATATTTCTGTTGTAGTGTTCTATAATCGACATGTCCATACATATTTCTCTTGTAATGTTCTATAATCGACATGTCCATACATATTTCTGTTGTTATGTTCTATAAACGACATATCCATACATATTTCTGTTCTAATGTTCTATAAACGACATGTCCATACATATTTCTCTTGAAATATTCTATAAACGACATATCCATACATATTTCTCTTGTAATGTTCTATAAACGACATGTCCATACATATTTCTCTTGTAATGTTCTATAAACGACATGTCCATACATATTTCTCTTGTAATGTTCTATATCGATGAAACGTGTGAGGATATGTTCACCTTTGTCAAGGAACAGTGTTCATAATCAGAAAAGTTCACATTTTTGTGATTGAGTAAATAACTGGATAAAGGAGTTGATGTTATTTCAAGTCGTCTAATGTTATGTAGACGCAGAATAGACTGTGAGTAGTTGTACAGCAGATGTTCATTATTTGTCTAGCAGATGTACAGTAGTAGTGATACAGAGACGTCACACACGCGCACATGCACACAAACGCGCTCGCGCACGGACGCACGCACACACACACACACTCACCACCACCATATAATCCCCTGTCATGCATATCTACTCACTCACCCACAACCACCCCGTCTGGCATCAGCTCCCTACCTAATACCCTCCCCACGCTCAGACACACACGCTCACACACACACCCTTCACACACCAAACACATTCCACCAATATACTTCCTATTATGTGAAAATACATTATGGATGCTTAGCGTTCCCAAATGTATATATGCTGGGTACTAAGTCATTGAAATAACGTGAATGGCAGCCATCATTGCTCCTACTGTCAATGTTGGTATATCGGGTTTGTTTGACTGTAATTAGTAAATATTCCTGTAATACCTTTCAGTGTATTTGCGATAGCACGTAATCTAGTAATGTTTCATCGTATATCACATACTCTCACGCCACGCATATGGTGCCTCGTGTAGAGGGCGCATGAAACATGAAACTCAGCTCACTCACTCACTTCACTCAACAGGACATTTGACTGGTTATGAGACTGACGAGCTTCCTACTGCGCTACCGAGTCTTAAAAGTACAGTGAAGCCGAAGAGTTATGTCCCCCTAGTCTGCCAAGGTGTTACAAGATGCATGGAAGTGAAAGTGCTGTATTTTCTTGCTTGAGTACCTGGCTGAGTTTAATGCTTTCCTCCGAGCATACGTCATGACATGCTTGCACATTCTGGGCTTAAAACCATCCGTTGTCGGGCTGCGGTAGTTGTCCATTTCGTTCATCCAAAGGAAAACAGCCTGAAATACTTAAAGGGAACAATTCAGCTCTCTTTTCACAAATGGCCTCCGTGTTGGCCCTGTATGATAAAAACACCGGTCGCTACAATTATAAGTACGTCGTTTTCTTTGTGACACGTTCCATCAAGATTCCTTACTAAGGGACCGTTCATAATTTATGGCAAGGGGGATGATGATGATTTTAATGCAGAAGCATGTACAATGTGAATGCCGACCCCCCTTTAAATTTACGTACAAAGTAAGTGACGCCCCCTTCATATCATACAAAATCAATGACCCCCTAGTACATGTGTGCAAAATTGCTCAACCCCATCCCCCCATCTCCCCAGAACAAAATGGGTTATCCATTACCTAGCCATAAATTATGAACGATCCCTAACGATGTGTGTAAACTGTATGATGACGTAATTAACTCTTGTAATGACTAGGTGATTATCTTCATGTCGAAATCTCGTTTTGTTATCATGATGAAAAGTACGATACTGTCGTACGATGTATCATTACAGAAACACTCATGTTTAACTCGCTATTTATACCACTCAAAACAAGTTAAGGACCACCCAGTTCTATATAACCACAGGTAATCAACCCGAGCATGGTGGTCTACCTATACCAATAGGGAGGAGTCTGGTGGTCACCAGTATAGCTAATAATGTAATATGTGAAGCCAATTTCTGGTGTTCCCCCGCTGTCTTATTTACTGGAATATTGCTAAAAGCGGCGTAATACCCAACACACTCACTTACTCTGTCATGACAGACTATCTGTAGTTACACGAGAGGATCTAGTGATCCTTAACGTTCTTTGAGTAGTATACGTCACCATTCTGTTTTCTTTTGATGGAGAGAGGCATGGAAGCGCTGAACTCCACCTGAACAGACATAGGTAATTGCGATCGCTAGGTAATTGCGATCGTGTTCTTGTAGAGCTCATTATACTTATATTGCCGCTTCATTCAACTCAGCAAACACTGAACAAATCATGACTCCTGGAGAATAATAGAAAGAACAAGTCTTTCAGTGTGGAGATCAAATGTCCATTTGCAATAAGGATGTCATTATTTGACATGTTTATCAGTTATTTTGAACACTGTAAATTACATAAAGATGAACAGAAATGATAAACACTGATGAAATACGTTTAATTAGATGACTAAAAGGCTTATATATATTATCATCAATTTATAAAATATGTTTGCTTTATGAATATTTCACACCTTCCGTAATCAATCCAGATTGTTATCACACGGTTCTGAATATATATTGCAACACCACATGAAGCAATATTTCCTGGGAGCGGGACTAGGACCGCGGCTAACGTTCTAGGGGAAGTAACTCTGTACTAAAGTGGGCTTCCTGTACGCCGTATTACGAGACAACGACCAGTCCTCCTTGTTGTTCTGTTGACAACGTTACGTTGGGTATTTGTACTTTGACAATAGATTACTTGTTTGTGGGAAGATCAACACTTCCATCACAGAAAGAAAGACTTGATAAATCAGGATCGTCTGTGCGACGTACGTCAGTAACGCTGTATTCAGCAATGCCTTAAGACTGACGCTTACTTCCAGGAATGAAGTTATTATTATCTTAAAATATATCGTTACACATTACAAAGAATTCTCCTGACAAATTCGGCTTTTTGTTCTGTAGACTTCGCATTCAAGTTCAGATGGATTTTTGTGCTTTGACAATACATACAGCTAGCTCACCCTGGTTCTACAAAGATAGGGGGCGGTGAGGTAGCTTAGTGGTTAAAGCGTCCGCTCGTCACCTCGAGACATGGGTACAATTCCGCACATGGGTACAGTGTGTGAAGCCCATTTCTGGTGTCCCTAGCCGTGATATTGCTGGATTACAGTTAAAAGCGGCGTAAAATTAAACTCACTCACTCTACAAAGACAAATAGTTCCCTTAAAGGAAGCCAATTCTTCTGATACTACTGTAAGAGAAAACGATATACTGGCTGTCACGAAACTCGAAACCGATACTGCAAAGTACTACAGCAGCAGTACAATACTAAAATACAAGAGACATCTTATGCCAGCAAAACCTAAATAACTACAACTAAACCCATTAGTCATTTTATAACTACAAAAGTTCCATTACTGCGGGGTGGAGTCCCTGACACTGCGAAGAGAGTCCAAGACCACTAATGAGGTGGGTCCCTGACACTGTGGGGACGGGTCCCTGACAGGGGTGGGTCCTGACACTTGTGGGGTGGGTCCCTGACACTGTGGGGGCAAACCAGTCAGGTGGAGTCCCTGTGTGAGGGGTGAGTCCCTGACACTGTGGGGTGGGTCTGGCTGACACAATGAGGTGGGCCCCAGACGCTGCAATATTGGTGGGTCCCCTGACACTGTGGGGTGGGTCCCTGACCAGCTGTGGGGTGGGTCCTTTGACACTGTGGGAGGTCCCTGGCACTGTGGGGTGGGTCACAACACTGTCGGGGTGAGTCCCTGACACTGTAGGGGTGGAGCCCCAGACTGTGGGGTGGGTGCTTGACCTTGCTGTGGGGTGGGCCCCAGACGCTGTGTAGTGGGTCCCTGACTTAGTGTGGGTGGGTCCCTACAGTGGGGCAGGTCTGACACTGTATGGAGTCCTGACACGCTACGGTGGGTCCCTGACACTGTCCCCTGGGGCGGGTCCCTGAGACTGTGGGGTGGGTCCCTGGGACACTGTGGGGTGGGTCCCTGACACTGTAGGGCGGGTCCCTGACACTGTGGGCTGGGTCCCTGACACTGTGGGGTGGGTCCCTGACACTGTGGGGTGGGTCCCTGACACTGTGGGGTGGGTCCCTGACACTGTGTGGGCGGGTCCCTGACACTGTGGGTGGGTCCCTGACACTGTGGGAGCGGGTCCCTGACACTGTGGGTGGGTCCCTGACACTGTGGGGTGGGTCCCTGACACTGTGGGTGGGTCCCTGACACTGTGGGGTGGGTCCCTGACACTGTGGGGCGGGTCCCTGACACTGTGGGTGGGTCCCTGAGACTGTGACACTGTGGGTGGGTCCCTGTGTAGGGTGGGGACACTGTGGGGTGGGTCCCTGACACTGTGGGGTGGGTCCCGGACACTGTTGGGCGGGTCCCTGACACTGTGGGTGGGTCTCTGACACCGTGGGGGTGTCTGACAAATGAGAACCCCACTCTCCTACCCAGAGTTCCATGCGGCCAGCCAGCATACTACAAACAAGAGAAAAAGTCCGGTCACGTGATATTCAAATTAGCTTGTGACGTTATGCTAAGTCATCGCTGCGCCAGAGTGTGTGAGAACCCACAAAGAACTGACCAACCGGAAGATGTGAAACTGTCACGTGTCACTGACGGTGAAACATTAGAACAGGTCGCCGTTCCACTGACGACTACTGACGTTGCGCTGTGACATTTGGTTTTTTTTTCATTTATTCTCATGTATATACTTATTTTTGCAACAGTGCATCTGAGGTTTATTAGGGTGCTAAAGCATATATTTGTCTTTGTATTTGATGAATACTGTAATCTATTATATGGTCTCAGGACCAATACATATGTAGTATGTCGTTAATCCCCGTCTCAGGCCCATACATATGTAGCATGTCGTTAATCCCCGTCTCAGACATATACATATGTAGTATGTCGTTAATTCCCGTCTCAGACCCATACATATGTAGCATGTCGTTAATCCCCGTCTCAGACCCATACATATGTAGCATGTCGTTAATCCCCGTCTCAGACCCATACATATGTAGTATGTCGTTAATTCCCGTCTCAGACACATACATATGTAGCATGTCGTTAATCCCCGTCTCAGGCCCATACATATGTAGCATGTCGTTAATCCCCGTCTCAGACATATACATATGTAGTATGTCGTTAATTCCCGTCTCAGACCCATACATATGTAGCATGTCGTTAATTCCCGTCTCAGACCCATACATATGTAGCATGTCGTTAATCCCCGTCTCAGACATATACATATGTAGTATGTCGTTAATTCCCGTCTCAGACCCATACATATGTAGCATGTCGTTAATTCCTGTCTCAGACCCATACATATGTAGTATGTCGTTAATCCCTGTCTCAGACATATACATATGTAGCATGTCGTTAATTCCCGTCTCAGACCCATACATATGTAGTATGTCGTTAATCCCCGTCTCAGACCCATACATATGTAGCATGTCGTTAATCCCCGTCTCAGACCCATACATATGTAAAAGGTCGTTAATCCCTGTCTCAGACCCATACATATGTAGCATGTCGTTAATCCCTGTCTCAGGATCATACATATGTAGTATGTCGTTAATCCCCGTCTCAGGCCCATACATATGTAGTATGTCGTTAATTCCTGTCTCAGACCCATACATATGTAGCATGTCGTTAATCCCCGTCTCAGACATATACATATGTAGTATGTCGTTAATTCCTGTCTCAGACCCATACATATGTAGTATGTCGTTAATTCCCGTCTCAGACCCATACATATGTAGCATGTCGTTAATCCCCGTCTCAGACATATACATATGTAGTATGTCGTTAATTCCCGTCTCAGACCCATACATATGTAGCATGTCGTTAATTCCCGTCTCAGACCAATACATATGTAGCATGTCGTTAATCCCCGTCTCAGACATATACATATGTAGCATGTCGTTAATTCCCGTCTCAGACCCATACATATGTAGTATGTCGTTAATCCCCGTCTCAGACCCATACATATGTAGCATGTCGTTAATCCCCGTCTCAGACCCATACATATGTAAAAGGTCGTTAATCCCTGTCTCAGACCCATACATGTGAAGCATGTCGTTAATCCCTGTCTCAGGATCATACATATGTAGTATGTCGTTAATCCCCGTCTCAGGCCCATACATATGTAGTATGTCGTTAATCCCCGTCTCAGGCCCATACATATGTAGCATGTCGTTAATCCCCGTCTCAGGCCCATACATATGTAGCATGTCGTTAATCCCCGTCTCAGACCCATGCATATGTAGCATGTCGTTAATCCCTGTCTCAGGATCATACATATGTAGCATGTCGTTAATCCCCGTCTCAGACATATACATATGTAGCATGTCGTTAATCCCCGTCTCAGACCTATGCATGTGTAGCATGTCGTTAATCCCCGTCTCAGACCCATACATATGTAGCATGTCGTTAATCCCCGTCTCAGACCCATACATATGTAGCATGTCGTTAATCCCTGTCTCATACATAACATATGTAGTATGTCGTTAATTCCCGTCTCAGACCCATACATATGTAGCATGTCGTTAATCCCCGTCTCAGACCCATACATATGTAGTATGTCGTTAATCCCCGTCTCAGACCCATACATATGTATGTCGTTAATCCCTGTCTCACACCTATACATATGTAGTATGTCGTTAATCCCTGTCTCAGACCTATACATATGTAGTATGTCGTTAATCCCTGTCTCAGGCCCATACATATGTAGTATGTCGTTTATGCCTTCCTCAGGCCCATACAAATGTAGTATGTCGTTAATCCCTGTCTCAGGTCCATGCATTTGTTTTATATCAATCAGTGTCTCAGAGCCATACATATATAGTGTGTCGTTAATCCCCGTCTCAGATCTATACATATATAGTGTGTCGTTAATCTCTGTCTCAGATCTATACATATGTAGTGTGTCTTTAATCCTTGTCTCAGACCTATACACATGTAGTGTGTCGTTAATCTTTGGATCAGAGCCATACATAGATAGCTACAAGTCCTGTCTCAGATCTATACATAATGTAGTAAGTCTACAATCCCTGTCTCAGATCTATACATATGATTTATGTCTGCAAGCCCTGTCTCAGATCTATACATATTTAGTAAGTCTACAATCCCTGTCTCAGATCTATACATATGTAGTATGTCTACAAGTCCTGTCTCAGATCTATACATATGCAGTAAGTCTACAATCCCTGTCTCAGATCTATACATATGATGAATGTGTACAAGCCCTGTTTCAGATCTATACATATGTTGTATGTCTACAAGCCCTGTCTCAGATCTATACATATGTAGTAAGTCTACAAGCCCTGTCTCAGATCTATACATATGTAGTATGTCTACAAGTCCTGTCTCAGATCTATACATATGTAGTAAGTCTACAATCCCTGTCTCAGATCTATACATATGATGAATGTGTACAAGTCCTGTTTCAGATCTATACATATGTTGTATGTCTACAAGCCCTGTCTCAGATCTATACATATGGTGGATTTCGTTAATGCCTGTCTCAGATTTATACACATGTAGTATGTCTACAAGCCCTGTCTCAGATCTATACATATGTAGTATGTCTACAAGCCCTGTATCAGATCTACACATATGTAGTAAGTCTACAAGCCCTGTCTCAGATCCATACATATTATGTATTTCGTTAATGCCTGTCTCAGATCTATACATATGATGTATTTAGTTAATGCCTGTCTCAGATCTATACATATGTAGTATGTCTACAAGTCCTGTCTCCGATCTATACATATGATGTATGTCGTTAATGCCTGTCTCAGATCTATACATATGTAGTAAGTCTACAAGTCCTGTCTCAGATCTATACATCTGTAGTATGTCTACAATCACTGTCTCAGATCTATACATATGATGTATGTCGTTAATGCCTGTCTCAGATCTATACATATGTAGTAAGTCTACAAGTCCTGTCACAGATCTATACATATGTAGTATGTCTACAAGCCCTGTCTCAGATCTATACATATGTAGTATGTCTACAAGCCCTGTATCAGATCTACACATATGTAGTAAGTCTACAATCCCTGTCTCAGATCCATACATATTATGTATTTCGTTAATGCCTGTCTCAGATCTATACATATGTAGTAAGTCTACAAGCCCTGTCTCAGATGTATACATATGATGTATTTCGTTAATGCCTGTCTCAGATCTATACACATGTAGTATGTCTACAAGCCCTGTCTCAGATCTATACATATGATGTATTTAGTTATTGCCTGTCTCAGATCTATACATATGTAGTAAGTCTACAAGCCCTGTCTCAGATCTATACATATGTAGTATGTCTACAAGTCCTGTCTCCGATCTATACATATGATGTATGTCGTTAATGCCTGTCTCAGATCTATACATATGTAGTAAGTCTACAAGCCCTGTCTCAGATCTATACATATGTAGTAAGTCTACAAGTCCTGTCTCAGATCTATACATATGTAGTATGTCTACAAGCCCTGTCTCAGATCTATACATATGATGTATTTAGTTATTGCCTGTCTCAGATCTATACATATGTAGTATGTCTACAAGTCCTGTCTCAGATCTAAACATATGATGTATGTCGTTAATGCCTGTCTCAGATCTATACATATGTAGTAAGTCTACAAGCCCTGTCTCAGATCTATACATATGTAGTATGTCTACAAGTCCTGTCTCCGATCTATACATATGATGTATGTCGTTAATGCCTGTCTCAGATCTATACATATGTAGTATGTCTACAAGTCCTGTCTCAGATCTATACATATGATGTATGTCGTACAATGCCTGTCTCAGATCTATACATATGTAGTAAGTCTACAAGTCCTGTCTCAGATCTATACATATATAGTATGTGTACAAGTCCTGTCTCAGATCTATACATATGCAGTAAGTCTACAAGTCCTGCCTCAGATCTATACATATGTAGTAAGTCGTTAAGTCCTGTCTCAGATCTATACATATGTAGTAAGTCTACAAGTCCTGTCTCAGATCTATACATATGTAGTAAGTCTACACCCTGTCTCAAGAGCTATTGTTTTTAATCCCCTTCATTTACATTCCAGCACATGGCAGATAGCACAAATGCGCTGACACCGAGTAGATCAAGCACACATAAAATATATGATAATGAAGCGTTCGTAAAATATTACTCGTGCTCCTGTTCTTTCTCTTTACCGACGACGTATGAAGACGTCGTAGACCAATCATATCACCAGTCAGTCGTTTATATTCATGGACGACAACGTTATATCTCACCGTTCTCGAGAAGTCATCGCCCATTTGCGAAACAACGCCATCGCCACATTATCATGGCCCGCAGGGAGCCCCGATATGAATCCCATTGATCTTCTAATTCAGACTATCTTGGACGAAAAGATTGAGCTCTAGCTCAAAATCTGCAGAATTTGTCGAAGTCCATGAGGAATGGCAGATGATACCGATGTTGAGAATTCGACGCTTGATTGTCAGTATGAGAAGGGGACTGTTATATTATCCGTGGAGGGGTGGATACACCGGGTACTGATGTGGTCACCAGTGGTGCTTCATACAATCACAACAATCATTATTTAGAAGTGTGTGACAATCGAATTACGTCATGTGGACCATACTTTCACTCATTGCTGATATCCACGTGTTTGTGTATTTCTTTCACATTGAAGTAAATTGTTAGCAAAATTCAGTTTCGATTTTGTTTTTGTATTTATGAGACTAAAATGTGTTACAGTTAGAATTTAAATACGCTGAATTTTGTTTTCAAAGCATATGAAACAGCTTGTAGTATTTTACTAGTAATGCAACAAAGATCCACCCACCCCACCCCACCCCACCCCACCCCCAAGCTATAAATTATGAACGGTCCCTTATATATATTTGCAATGTAGACGGCATAACGATTTTGTGCATAAACCTGGGAGTTCATACAACTAGATTTAGCAATGTTGTGCGCTGCTCTTATCAGTGGCAATACAACTGATATATAAAAGGGGAGAGGTATTTTTAGAATGAGTTCCGGCAGCCACCAACGCCGCATGTTGACTGTATCGACTCGCCGTCTGTTTCACGTAGTGTGGCGCAGCAACAGTTGTGCTGTCAGGTAAGTGTTGCTGCAGGCTTGTAACGTAAAACACTGGCATCAAGGACTATACTGCATGGCTCTACATTTACTCAGTGAAGGTAGTGTAACAAGTATCCTTTAGACAGATAAGGAAGAGGCAGGTCACGTATCACAGAAACGAGATAGTGTCTGTATATTCAGAGACTAACCATTACTCTAGGTCCGACTGGATAGCTGACCTATTTCAGTGAAATAGGTCAGCTATCCAGTCGGACCTAGAGTAATGGTTAGTCTCTGAATATATATAATTTTGATGGTAACAAACAAGCCCATTAAAATTGAAAAGGGGCCCTAGGGAGAACAGAGATTCAGAACCTGAGGAAATCTAGACTTGCTTTATTTAGGGCTTTAGCACTGCACAGAGGGCATGGCAGTGGGAAAATAATGTGGTTCAGGGACTGTGAGACAGACTAAGCCTGACCCTGTGGTCTCCCTTTGAATCGGACGGGAGCTAAATACCTAGCCTTGCTCCATAGCTGTACTTAATGCTAAGCCCACGGATGTAAAGTAATTCTATCCTTTAAAGAGGAAAGTCTAGATAAGCGGGCAGTACAGGAGGCCAGTCTGTTATTTATATGTTTTAGAAATGTACATTTAAACTATTAATTATTACATCAGAGACTTGTGCAAGTCCACGGAGTCCCTTCTTTCATTATCATCCTAGAAGTTGGGGAGACGAAGAAAGAGGACAATGTTCATGGATGTATCAATATCCTCTGTCCTCTTAGGCAAACACTATTATGAATAATCAGAAATTATAATAGAAGACTAAGCCCCAACGTGAATCTCTCATGTGCACCTGAGTTCAACCTATAACATTCTATAATAAAAAACTATCCACTGAAGAAAATGTGTGTATGTACAATTCTCTGCTTTAGTATATAGAAATACGCATGTGTACATAATTAGTTTTGCAACAATAATATTTACTTTTCAACTCAAAACAGCAACAATGCATATTTGTAAACAACTATATTGCATGTTATTTATAGTAAAATCAGATTATTTGTCGTCATTCACTTATGCGCGGTTACATCTTTTATTAAAGTGATAATTAGTGGTAGCACAGCTTCCATGATAAATGTGGTGAATGTATTGCAAATTGCATGTAATCTTATGTGCTCGTGGCATTGAAGGAAGAGAGGAGTGATCTGTTGTGTTACAAGGAAACCATTGATAGAAAACTGACCGATAAAATTAATTCCACATGAAACTGAAACATTGTCAGAGTTGACAGGGAATGTTAACATCTGTATCGTAATATAATTATGTAATAGTATAATTAATATATATGAGAAATTGGCTGTGTAATCAATTCCATATGAAACTGAATCATTGTTAGAATTGACAGGGACGGTTAACATTTGTATTGTAATATAATTATGTAATAGTATAATGAATATCATATGAGAAATTGTCTATGTAATTAATTCCATATGAAACTGAATCATTGTCAGAGTTGACAGGGAATGTTAACATCTCTATCGTAATATAATTATGTAATAGTATAATGAATATCATATGAGAAATTGTCTGTGTAATTAATTCCACATGAATCTGAAACATTGTTAGAATTGACAGGGACGGTTAACATTTGTATCGTAATATAATTATGTTATAGTATAATGAATATCATATGAGAAATTGTCTGTGTAAATTAAACATTGTCTCTGTGTAATAAATATCCTGGGAACTTGAAACAATGGCCTAGTAATTAGTGAGTGAGTGAGTGAGTTTAGTTTTACGCCGCACTCAGCAATATTCCAGCTTTGTGGCGGCGGTCTGTAAATAATCGAATCTGGACCAGACAATCCAGTGATCAACAGTATGAGCATCGATCTGCGCAATTGGGAACCGATGACATGTGTCAATCAAACCAGCCTTGCCTTACCACCCGATCCTGTTAGTCGCCTCTTACGACAAACATGGGAGTGAGTGAGTGAGTTGGGTTTACGTAGCAATATTCCAGCAATATCACGGCAGGTAAACACCAGAAATTGGCTCAGCACGCTGTATCCACGTAGGGAATGGAACCTTTGCCTTCGGCGTGACGTGCGAACACTGTAACCACTGGGTTACACACACACACAAACACAAACACACACACACACACACACACACACACACACACACACACACACACCAGTAATTAGTACCTCGTGAAGCTGAAACATTGTCTGTGTAACTTGTGCCATGTAGAGCTGAAATTTAACATTGTAAGTGTTGACTCAGTGTGTGATATAGTTTCCCCATTTTGCTACCCAGTCGGGCTAGCTATGCGTGAAAGTTACTAGCCCAAACAATTATTCACTAGCCCGAAAAGTAAACAAAAGTAAAAGATTACAAAAAGGTAAAATACCATCAAAAACAAAATTAAGAAAACACATGTATGAAATATTTTGTTTATGCTCAAAGAAGTCATCATTAAGCTGCTAATATGATGAACATTTTTATCAGGCCATAATATTGCATGATTTAAAGTGTATTATAACTTAACAAGTCGGAGAGAGTGATATACATGTATTTACAAAATGACCCCATGACAATTCACTAGCCAGTCGGGCCAGTGACTGTGGAGATTTACTGACCCGACTGGATTTTTAATAGCCACGGGCTGACGGGTCAGTGACTATTTCGAACACTGATTGTTGACTACCCTTTATACCTGTGTTATCTGTTCAAGAAGATGCTGAAGGTGTGACACAGCATCAGAGTTGTCTTTAACAACAATCTACGTCTCCATGCTTACAAGAAAATGACAATACGATGGTATCCAAAATGCAAATTAACACTGAAGCATGCTTTCATCTATATGAATGTATTTTGTGTAACTTGCATCCTATACTTTATGATGAGCACAGGACCGATAAAGGAACGGAAGCCCTTTCTCAAATTTCATCCAAGAGAATTTTCAAACTCCTCCCGCAAAACCATACTTCTTTGGACGTCATTTTTCGGGGCAAGGAACTGGAATGTGAACAATTTTAATTTACCTAAATGTAAAAAATATTCGCCAAAAGCATGTGATCTGACAAGAGATCGATCTCGTCTTGGGACAAGTGCGGCTGTTCTATTTCATTTAGGGAACCTGGCTTCAGTTCCTTCGATTAGAAGAACGGAACAAATCTGGGTTCTCTTCAATATGGAGCCACTTCCAAAAATTCGCCGAGATCTAAAACAGTACAATGGTGTTTTCAATTGGACAAGCTGGTACAGGAGGGATTCAACAGTGCCTATGTATTACGGATGGGTTGAAACAAAACTTAATCAAAGTGGGCTAATACACAAAGATATATTCGCGGAAAAAACAAAACTGGCCATCTGGGTAGCCAGCAACTGCAAAGACGATGCCCAGCGATACAGAATAGTGAAGAAGCTGCAACAATATTTGCCCGTAGATACCTACGGGGAATGTGGTGATCTGTCCTGTGACAAAAGGGACAATTGTGATGAAAAATTTAAAAAATATAAATTTGTGCTTTCGTTTGAGAACAGCCACTGTGAAGATTATATTACTGAGAAATACTGGCTGGGGCTACAAAGGAATCAGATCCCTGTTGTGTATGGTGGAGGTGATTATGAAGCGATGGTGCCCCCGCGTTCTTTCATCAATGTCAGGGATTTCCCAACCATCTCAGCACTAGCGACCTACATGCTCAAAGTGGCTCATAACAGGACTTTATATAACAGCTATTTTGATTGGAAGAGAAAATATTACCTCCCGCCATGTCTGGAAACCATGAATTGTTTTGACTTAGAGAACTATTTCTGTTCGCTGTGCGGAGCTCTGCACGACCGGGGCATACCTGGCCAAACGTACGCCAATCTCCATGAGTGGGCGACGGATGACAACCCGCAGTGCAAAGAGTACTCGGTAAGTGATATTGCCGTCTCTGTGTGTTAATGTGAAGCCCATTTCTGGTGTCGCCCGAAGTGATATTGCTGAAATATGGCGTAAAACCCAACTCACTCACTCACTCAGTGTATTAATATTCGTATCAAGAACACCCCCAAAATGAAAATTATTCTTTCAAGAAACTACACTCGTAATAACGTTAAATCACTGTGATGACACCATGTGTTTGGGGGACGGTTGACACCTTCTTAACGTGACCCACTCGTGTTATTCTGGGACATGTCAAATAGCAGTTTACGGAAAGGGGCGAGTGGTTATGAATGAATTATTCCTACAAATCCTAGGTACCTCACCCATGTCTCCTTCCAGGAATCACTGTCAGACAGTGATGATAGCAGGTATTCGTGAAAAGGTAATCGTATCCGGCCAAACTGGTGGCAGCCGGCAATTGTTCACCAAGTTCAACACACGAATATAGGGTACATTCAGAGACTTACAACATTTTGTCACTTAGTCGCATTTGATATTTCCTTCACAAGTCTACTTTAAGCTCTCTGAAATCTTTACATGGGTCGTGACTGTTATGACCTTGATCAAACAGATTTTGAGTAAGAGTCGCGCGCATGACGCTGTTTGACTAAAATCTTGATAACATGAGCATGTTTGATTGTACCTCAGAAGGTGTGAACTAAAGGGAAGGTTGGCTTGTGGAAAGTCACCCCCCTTGGCATACAGTCATGTGAACCGTTTGTTGTCAGTCCAAGTCTTTATGATTTAAATATGAAGCCGACGAGACGATCACGTCAGGCACCAGATGCCTTTGTTCCGAGTTCAGGGACAATCAGTCAATGGGAACGTTCATTTGGCCGTTATTGGACCATTTCAGATCATCCTGAAACTTAAACTCAACGTCTTGGCTAAGATATCCTCTCTTCATTATGCCAATCCGCATAAAAATTCCAATTTATGTTCAGGAAAAATCCAGTAGATCACAATAGGTGTCCACTGGAATTCCAGCTTCATGTCTAAATGCCCTTACCCTACCACTTCCCTTGATGATGAGGTTATAATTAGTCTTCATGAACCCATGCTTGTCGTAAGAGGCGACTAATAGGATCAGTATAGTATCCCAATTGCATAGATCGATGCTCATGCTGTTCATCACATGATTGTCTGGTCCAGATTCGATTAATTACAGACAGCTGTCATAAAGCTGGAGTATTGCTGAATGTGGCGTTAAACAACGAACAAACAAAGAAAAACGTGGCCATCCGATCCTCTCACTACAAGTACTCTGTCAAATATCCTACCCCGAAATGTAAATATATCTTATATATATAAACCTGATGACCAGTGTGACACTATTCAAGCGCGGTGATTCTGATCATAATTGCTACTTTGCCCAGACTAAAGCAAATGACGTGTGTTTAGCGTTTCAGATCTTGGTGGAACAGCTTATCGAGGATCATGTTCCAGATCGGACTCTGAGTGAGGAGTGAATGTGTGGTTTGCCCGTCTAGCCCATGTTTCTGACGCTCAATCAGTCATGTGACCACTCACAGGCGATCCCTTGGAAGCCCAGCCAAAGACAATCCTTTGTCCTTTCTGAAAAGATCTGCTTGAATGGCATTTTAGAAGTAGGCGAGTAACAGTGAAGGCAGGATACATTCCTGGGTGACAGCTTCGTATTCTATTATGATACGAACTTCTGTGCAGGTCCTTATTTAAACGTCACTCATGCTTGACGACGGTATAAGGATAATAATGGAATAAGAAGTTGTCATTCAAGAAGGTACCCTGTACATGTAGCAGGAGCGGAACCAGGATTTTGGAGAAGGGTGGGGGGTGCGCATAAATCATGAAGCCCAAAGGTCAGGAGTAAATGCGCGCACCCCTGCATCACACACACACACGCACGCACGCACGCACGCACGCACGCACGCACGCGGATCCGCCCCAGTATGGAGAAGCTATAAAGTTTTCTATCAGGGAATGAATCACCAGGCTACCACGCAACGATCTGCGTGACAGGAATTCGTCACACCGTACCATCCCGCAGGAACAGCGCAAATACTTCCAACTGATGGGTCACGTACAATAAGCACATCATCGTGTACATGTAAACTTACCTATGGACAACTACAGTTTGACCAGTCGGTCAGTCAGATGTATGACAGTAACAGGCCATCATACCAAAATACATCCAGGATAATTCGTTTCCTTGGGCAAAATATTCTGTAACTTAATATATTTCTAACATGATGTAGGTATGTGGCAACAGACCTGGATTCAAGATACCAAGGTAAAAGTGGAGTATGGTATGTATTTGGAATGAGTTTAAGATATGGTTTGTACTATGACTGCAAAATGACCTATGCATCTTAAACGTACAGCTCACTCACGCACATGAATGACTTTGTAAAGAGTGTGTGTGCGCGCGTGCGTGTGTGTGTGTGTGTGTGAGAGAGAGAGAGAGAGAGAGAGAGAGAGAGAGAGAGAGAGAGAGAGAGTCCTATTTTCTACATTATGAGTCCATAAACATATACGTTATGGTTCTGATGACAGCAATCTCGAACTTAGGTTGCATAGTCAGGGCTTCTATTTTATTTTCTACAGTTTATAGTACTATATAGTATGTCGTTTTGCCATTGGATAACTAAGGAAAATATGTGTTGTGAATGAAAGTATGAGTAGATTTTAATTTAAACCATAAAGATAATCACAGACACATGTATGTTCTTTACCCAATATACCGGTTCTCAGAAATAGATATGGCAATACGTATCGTTTGAAAAGCGTATTGTGATATACTGGTAATACCCGGCAGTCCTATACATGAGTGGTTTTCTTATTTTGTATTTTAGGAATAGACTATGTTGAGTAATGTTTGCTGATGTACAAGATACACTGTGGGGCAAGAATAAAGTATTCATCCATGTTTGGTCAATGAATTCGTATTTGAATCTCGTATCCTAGTTGTACTCAGGACCATAATTCTGCAATGATTCTGAGACTGTTTTCAGCCTGTTATTATGACGAAACGCCCACTCGTTTTATTTAGTTTATTTCATGTACTATTCAATTTATTTCATGTACTATTCAGTTTATTTCATGTACCATCCAGTTTATTTCATGTACTTTTCAGTTTATTTCATGTACCATCCAGTTTATTTCATGTACTATTCAGTTTATTTCATGTACTATTCAGTTTATTTCATGTACTATTCAGTTTATTTCATGTACCATCCAGTTTATTTCATGTACCATCCAGTTTATTTCATGTACGATTCAATTTATTTCATATACTATTCAGTTTATTTCATGTACCATCCAGTTTATTTCATGTACTATTCAATTTATTTCATGTGCTATTCAGTTTATTTCATGTACTATTCAGTTTATTTCATGTTCTATTCAATTTATTTCATGTACCATCCAGTTTATTTCATGTACTATTCAATTTATTTCATGTACTATTCAGTTTATTTCATATACTATTCAATTTATTTCATGTACTATTCAGTTTATTTCATGTACCATTCAGTTTATTTCATGTACTATTCGTTGTTTTTCTTTTACTATTCAATTTATTGCATGTACTATTCAGTTTACCTCAGTTACTTTTCATTGTATTTCATTTACTATTCATGATTGCATTTCATTTACTGTTTGCCCCAATCATTCACTGTTCGTTGTATTGTACCTGACCATATTCTACAACTGAAATGTTTACAAATTCCATTATTGCTGATGATAATAAATGAATCCACTCGGCACCAAACAGCGTCAAGCTTGTCAATTCCACAATGAGGTGGCGACGTTCTGTTTATGTTATAACTAAAAACACACCATTCGGCTCATCCTGTTACACGAATGGTCACGAAAATAACTTGAAACAAACGATTTGTTGAGAACCTGTTAGACACGAATACAACAGTAATGGCTGCACACCAAGAAGCTTTTCTTTTCCCACCAAACGGTTAACCCTCTCATCAGACAATATAACTCCTTTGCGTACTTGCAAATTCGTAACAAGTACGCTCGTTTTGTCTTGCGTCCTCTGTTAAAAACGTAACCCCCTTTAGCGGCATAGTATAGATTAGAAACGTGTGAAACTCATGCAGTATGGAAATATGCAGAGAGTGTACATTAAGAATCATGACCTATAATTTATACTGCAACAATCAATGAAACCATGGCGAATTCCCAGTTCTCTACCGAAAAGAGTTGTGAATGAACGTGATTTTACACCGCGGTCAGTGATGGGAACACAACCAGCAGGGCCAGTGACCAATGGATCCCTTTTAAGTGGCTAATGCGACAGATACTCTCTATCCATGGTATGTACAGTATGTACAAGTGCCTGACATTGCTTTAAATGCTCGTACATTGACACAGTAAATCATATGATCTTTATTTATGATTTATATATTTCACTGCATGGAAAGTGGTCAATGGATTTTGAAAAAACCCGTCATGGATTAAAGTCGTAAGTCGTCATATGTATTCTCTACAAGTAAATATTCACAAAGAACTTAATTAAGCACCCCGTGTATTTTTGCAATAATAGGTTTTCAACACGTGCATAAAACTTCTCGTGGTGACCACGATGGAAAACATGAGTTTTCCTGACCAGCGTGATCCTTTGACTCATTAAAAATGACAAAGTGTTTTGAATCCATGTTGATTTTATAATGATAATTGCGCATATTTAAAAAATAAACCACTGATTTTCATCAGTGTACATGACCCCGGAATGTTGAATGTTGAATTTATGGGTGAATGTGAACATTCAAATTGTCATTTTGCGTGTCTTACGGACTTACACCATTCAAGGTCAAATCCGACTGTATGACAGCCATCGTTCTCCCCCTCATACCCCTGTCAGCCTCCTGATCCTCTGAAAGGGCAGTCTACGCCATTCCTCATGTAAAGCAGCTTCCAATTGGACCAGGTTCTGTACAAGAGGATCCCTTTGTTGCACAAGACGACCACTCATGTCCCAGATATGCTCCAAAGGGTTAATATCGGGGCTCATTCAATTGTGAAATATTTCAGGATGTGGTTAACTAAGTTCTCTGTGTCACCTGTAACCATTTTACATTTTATACCACACGATAGGGGCGCATATCAGATCACTAACTTTATATCATCACCTTGCCAAACATCCGTCAAAGGATTCCGTGGCGCAATAGCCTCATACATGATCCAGTGTCTGTCCGTTGTCATGACAACACGCCGACATGGCTTGTACATGCGACAAGTCGAGACACCAGTGTAATCTGAAAGGGTCACCGATGGTACAGTCGCCGTAGGTGCCGCACTTTCCCTTGCTTAGAAAACATATTATTGTAGGTTCGAATTCCAGAATATGTCAGAACTATATGTCTTGGTTTGTCTGCACCACGGTTTCATCAAACTACTAAATGCCAAAGACCACCACCACCTCGGGATTTGCTGGAACATCCCATGTAGGTTTCTGTCAAGGCGATGACACTGCGATAATCTTAACAACTAACTAAATCTTCATGTATACTGAAGTAAGTGCCGATGTTCAGATAACAGTTTCAAATCACCTGTAAATAACGCGAATAAATAACTTAATTTTGTTTTAGCGACAATGTTGAACCTCATTATTGCTGTAACCGAAGTAGTTTGGTATATACCACAAAGGCAAATAGTTTCTGTAGATGTCAGTTTAATGGCAATAATAACTGAAGGCCCTGTGGAAACAAATATATCACATCAAAATATGCAACAATACTTCATGGGGCTTACCAATAAATAATACAATATATATAATCAATACAATCATTACTGATTAATCAGGTCACAGAGTAGACATGTGTGTATATATGTATATAATGTTTATATTTCAAGATACACGTGTAGCTTCATACAAGTACATAACATAATTATCTACAATAAAATATGAAAGAACCCTCTCTAAGTGTATGGCACTGTGCCCGTTACCGACACAAACGTCAGGAACTATGTTTGCCACACCTGAACATAAACATATACAAATCCAGTAATCCAGTATATAACGTTCTACATCTGTACATTATCACTCTACTGTACATAAAATATCTGTTCCAATAACTCATCTCATCATACATACATTCATTCATTCATACATGCAAAGTTAGGTGCATTAGTTTATAGAAGTAGATGTACACATTATGTTTACCTACACAATAAGCTAGATAACATCCTCACGGGAATGCTATCAAAGATTACCTGTAGTACACTTACATTTATAAAGTATTGCTAAGGCCTAGTTATGCTGCATGTAACAGATAGTTAATTTGATTTATATTTACCACACATAACATGATACATGCTTTAAAGGAAGCTAAGAAATAATATATACACACTAAACATGAAGACATAAAATATACAATCCAAATATATTCTAACCTGTTAGAAACTGTTGTGAACAATGTCCAGTGACATACTTGAAGTGAAAATGGAAGCTGACCCATAAAACACCCTGCTATTGAAACTAAGGGGCCTGGGGCTGGGGCAAGACAATAGAGACAATAGACAACGTAAGCGCAAGGGTGACAGTGCTATTGTGAAGGTGAAGCAGGTTAGATTGAGTGGTTAAGCTAGGGCTAGACTTAGTGATTAAAATACAAATTAAAATACACTTGCTTATATATACATAATTACATACTCCTGTATACACTTGCTTAATATATACATAATTACATACTCCTGTATACACTTGCTTATATATACATAATTACATACTCCTGTATACACTTGCTTATATATACATAATTACATACTCCTGTATACACTTGCTTATATATACATAATTACATACTCCTGTATACACTTGCTAATATATACATAATTACATACTCCTGTATACACTTGCTAATATATACATAATTACATACTCCTGTATACACTTGCTAATATATACATAATTACATACTCCTGTATACACTTGCTTATATATACATAATTACATACTCCTGTATACACTTGCTAATATATACATAATTACATACTCCTGTATACACTTGCTTATATATACATAATTACATACTCCTGTATACACTTGCTAATATATACATAATTACATACTCCTGTATACACTTGCTTATATATACATAATTACATAATCCTGTATACACTTGCTTATATATACATAATTACATACTCCTGTATACACTTGCTTATATATACATAATTACATACTCCTGTATACACTTGCTTATATATACATAATTACATACTCCTGTATACACTTGCTTATATATACATAATTACATACTCCTGTATACACTTGCTTATATATACATAATTACATACTCCTGTATACACTTGCTAATATATACATAATTACATACTCCTGTATACACTTGCTTATATATACATAATTACATACTCCTGTATACACTTGCTAATATATATACATAATTACATACTCCTGTATACACTTGCTTATATATATATAATTACATACTCCTGTATACACTTGCTAATATATACATAATTACATACTCCTGTATACACTTGCTAATATATACATAATTACATACTCCTGTATACACTTGCTATATATATACATAATTACATACTCCTGTATACACTTGCTTATATATACATAATTACATACTCCTGTATACACTTGCTTATATATACATAATTACATACTCCTGTATACACTTGCTTATATATACATAATTACATACTCCTGTATACACTTGCTAATATATACATAATTACATACCCCTGTATACACTTGCTAATATATACATAATTACATACTCCTGTATACACTTGCTAATATATACATAATTACATACTCCTGTATACATAATTCTCCTGGCGTATACACTTGCTTATATATACATAATTACATACTCCTGTATACACTTGCTTATATATACATAATTACATACTCCTGTATATACACTTGCTTATATATACATAATTACATACTCCTGTATACACTTGCTAATATATACATAATTACATACTCCTGTATACACTTGCTTATATATACATAATTACATACTCCTGTATACACTTGCTTATATATACATAATTACATACTCCTGTATACACTTGCTATATATACATAATTACATACTCCTGTATACACTTGCTAATATATACATAATTACATACTCCTGTATACACTTGCTAATATATACATAATTACATACTCCTGTATACACTTGCTTATATATACATAATTACATACTCCTGTATACACTTGCTAATATATACATAATTACATACTCCTGTATACACTT